GATAGATAGATAGATAGATAGATAGATAGATAGATAGATAGATAGATAGATAGATAGATAGATAGATAGATAGATAGATAGATAGGTGCATGGATGGACGGATGGAGAGACCGACAGTAGTTAAAGGCAAACAGTGGAAAAAGTTTTATGGTTTTTAAATGTCATTTTAATTTCCATGCTTGCAGTAAAACACACACACACACACACACACACACACACACAGAGATTTCCAGAGCATATGAATTGTTTGCTTTGTCTCTGACCAACATTACCCATAATTCCTCAGTGTCAGTCAGATCTCAACAGCATGAAAAGCAAACGCACTTACAGCCTGGACATCGTCGGCCAGAAATAGGAAAGAAATATAATATAAGAAGGTGATTTGAGTGTGTGATTACAGTCTTTATCGTGATATTGACCACAAAACACAAAAGAGTTACTAAACACACAACCACTGCAGAGAACACACTCGATTAAACCAATGCATCAAAGAAAACCAGCCAAACGCTCTCAATCGGAGTGTGTTCTGTGTGTTTCTCTCGTGTGATTCAGTCTGTCCCAGTGTTGAATGCAAATTTATAATAATTTTGTTTGAAAATTGACATATAAATTAAATATTGAATAATAAATAATATAATAAAAAGAAGTAATGTCTGTATAATGCATTACAAAAGAACTTAACGCATTGTACAAGTACTTTGCATCGTATACACACACTAAATGAAATGTTTTATGTCACTCTACTGACGTCAGTGACATTTAACGTGTGTATCATCATCATCATCATCATCATCTTTATCTTCACATCTCTCTGTTGAAGAAAGCAAACCTCTCTCTGCTTTTATCCATATGAGAGAAAGTGTGTGTGTGTGTGGCAGATCTGTTTCCCTGGCACACAGTGAACGCAGCAGATGGCACTGCGTGTGTGTGTGTGCGTGTGTGTGTGTGTGTGTGTGTGTGTGTGTGTGTGTGTGCGTGTGTGTGTGTGTGTGTGTGTGTGTGTGTGTGTGCGCGCTCAAGATCTGTGGTTGTGAAGACGCTCCAGAGACACTCAAAAAGTCAAGAGTTTTAGAGAGACTACATACTACCAAACACACACACTCACGCACACACACTCCAGACGGCAGAAGGTTGTGGGTTTGAATCTCAGACTGATTAATCAACACACACACACACACACACACACACACACACACACACACACACACTGACATCCCTGGAATGAGACAGAAAATGTGGCGGCGGATCATAAACAATCTGCTGGATAATCAGACAACAAAAGCCTGATGAAACACCAATAATCCACACACACACACACACACACTCTGATCACAGCAATCGTTCAATAGTCTGAGCAAACACTGCAGGAATGATCAAAAACACACTCACTTATCACACTAGATAACGTGTGTGTTTTCAGCATGTTTGTTTGTTTGTTTGTTAGGATGAATTGCTTTGCTATTACAGTATAAAACATAATGCATGTAAATATTAAATGCATATAAAAAATTTTTTTTACGTTTAAAACACACAAAATCAGTAAAAAAATGAATCAAATATAGTTTTAATGTATACATTTCTATATTTTATCTAATAGATATGTATATATATATTTATACATATTTTACCATATATATTTTTAATTTTATCTAGAATATAAATACGTTGTGTTTACATAATATATGCGTGTGTGCTGTGTATAAATGCATGCATGTATATATTTAAGAATTATTTGCACATAAATACTGTATATATATATATATATATATATAAAAAAACAAGTCACAATTTTGCTTCTCAGATTAATATATTTTGATTTTTATTATACTTACTATTGATATTTCACATTATTTTTGGATTGATATTTTTACACATAATTTTTAAGTTATGTCTTTACTGTCACACATATAAAATTGTATTATACATTATAATTAGGGCTATGCAAAGATTAATTGCAATTCATCGCATCCAAAATAAAAGTTTGTGTTTACATAATATATGTGTGTGTGCTTTATATAATTATTTTGTAAATATAAATACGTATATATTTAAGAATTATTTACACATAAATACTGTATATATATATAAACAAGTCACAATTTTGCTTCTCAGATGAATATATTTAGATTTTTATTATATTATATTTACTATTGATATTTCACATTATTTATGGATTGATATTTTTAACTGCGACTACTAATGCAACAATTAAAATATTTAAACAACAGTAATTTTACTACAGATGAGGGCATTTCTAGAGAGATCGATATATACGGAAAGTTTAAGAGCCAGAAAAAAATTGAACATTAAAAGCATAAATTGTTAATGCATTAAATATGCATCACTATAGTGTCTTTCAAAAATATGCGCCGATTGAAATATCTTGATTGTCCGAGAACATTTCAGTAAACAATTAAATATTGAGTTAAAAACAAAAAAAATGTAAGATTTCAAAATATAAACCACAATAATATGTGCAATAATTGATATGTTTCTTAATTGTGCAAAAAGCTTTCAGTAAAACAATTAAATCTTGAATGAAAACCCGAATCAATTCTCAAAGACTCGTGTAAGATTATTGCTCCAACATGTTGAGCGACAGAGCGTAAAGAAAGAGAGAAAGGAAGAGTGTAATTACATCCCCAGAGATACGGATGAACAGAGGATATGAAGGTCTCGGATGGAAAAGGTGATGATGAAGAATATTTTCCACATCATCTGTGTCTCTCTATCCATATTAATGTGTTTTGCCATCAGAACAATAGCGAGAATCGTGTCACACATGGACACAGTAAACAATCCACACACACAAGTTTACAAGATAAAACAACCAGTGTGTGAGAAGATTTATGAGACTTTTCCAAGTATTATTGCCCTTATTTTTGGTAGTTTAGGCCCCCGCTCAAAAAATTGCCATCTGTTTGACTTCGTGATTGTCCGTCAAATCACCACCGTGACATGCGCGGAGATGAGTGCTGGACTGATCACCTCACGGTCAGATCCAGACTACTCATGTGGCCGAGGAGGACAGCTCCAAACATCAAACTAAACAGCACAGCGCTGAACAACATCACCACCTTCAACAGATCCATGCGGAAAACCTCAACATGATCCCGCAGGAACCGGCTAGATCGAATCCCCTATTCAGTCATCTCCGCAACACTGACTCAATCTGTGTGGATCAGCTGTGGCCAAAAACATCTGCGTTGGATAGGACACACCACACACACACGCCTGCTCCGCCAAGACCAGAAGCTGCGTCAATAATGTAATATGTAATCAATAATTAATCAGTGTATTGATCATCACTGAAAGAATGAGTGACATTTTACTGTGTGTGTGTGTGTGTGTGTGTGTCACTTCTCTAGTCTCTCATGTTCATTAAACTTAACTGTCACCGTCCCACAGGTGGGACGTTTGCCACTATATTTTTAAAACAATAATATCTTAGTAAATACCTTAAATAATATTGACAGACTATATATCATTTGAAAGCTTACAATCTCTAGTTTCCATATTTGGTGACTGATTTTCAAAATATATTACAGAGGAGCCATAATTTATCAATATAAAACAAGAATATTTTCATACTCATAAGGCGTGTTCAGACCTTTATTTTAAAATAGCAGTAAACATGAAAAATCATGAAAAAATGGTAGATACCTCAGTTTGTTTTCATGCCAAAAGTTCAAAAGATAGAATCCATTCAATTATTTTGGAAAAAGAAGGTCTGAAAAGTTTGAAATATCAAGAAAAAAATAATAAATTCACCATTTGTGACGTGTCCGCTAGCTATGACTTACATGCGTGTTCTTTGTATGTGTTTCTTAGAGGTTCAATTCATATCAGAATCTGCCAAACTTCCCATGCTACTCCTGAATAGGATCTCTACTTCAGAAATTGTATGAAAATTGTGAAAATAATGGTTCATATCACTCAAAACACGAATGGAAATGCAGGTGCCCTTATATGGGCAGTAATGGAGTCTGATTGTGCCCTAGTGGAAAAGTTTGGTACTGCGCTCAAACAAAATCTTACTGAAAGCTCATTTTTTGAGATATCAACCTAAAATTTGAAACACAACTTGTTCAGATTTTTGGCTTTGATCTTTCTGCCATTTTAGAGTAGCCCAGGTTTTGAAAATATATATTTTATGTAAAATATGAATAATTAATATTTTTACATTGTACATTTCCATAAACTCAAACTTCTATAACTTTTTTTCTGTTTCACTTTCTTAATTTATTTCACTTCTACAAAAATCTGCCAAATGTCTTCTTTAAAACAAGACCAATCATATGTCTATATTCCAAAGCATTCTTGAATTACAACCATTTAAGTTCGAAATGTGCATTTTCATGTCTATTCAAAAAAAGGGGGGGTGACAGTTAACAGGTTAATGACAATTAAAGATGAATATATTCATTCGATATAATCGATGGAGTTAATTAGTTATCAGCGTGTGCTCTTAACGAGAACAGTGGGCGGAGTCACGTCTCAGCATTAATGAGTTCATTACCGAGACCGTGAAGACCGTCTGATCAACACACACTAAAAAAACACGACCCGTGAACCAAACTATTATAATGAAACTGGTCCAGAAACCTCAAACACAGAGAGAATCAGCCAATCAGAGACACACACCACGAGTGTGACGGAGATTAAAACGTGTGTGTGTGTGTGTGTACTTATAATCATATTCTGGGGACAAATTTGTACTAATAAATGAGCTAAACCTGAAAAAAAAAAACTTATTTTAGGGACGTCCTCATTTGTCAAAACAGTATAAAAATAAAAGTACAAAATAAAAAATTAGCCATTACATGTCACACACACACACACATGTAGTGCACGGGTACAAACTGGAGAGAATTACTGAAAGCTCATTATAAATTAATAAGGAATACAAATGTATTCATAATTCCTTGCAATACATCAAAATGCATCATATATGTTAACACTTATATTATGTGTGTGTGTGTGTGTGTGTGTGTCATACC